GTCAGAATCATACAAACCATCGTATTCCCTATTATCATGTATGGATGTAAGAGCTGGATAGTCAAGAAAGAAGTTAGGAAGAAAATCAATGCATTTGAGATGTGGTGCAGGAGAAGAGTGCTGAGGATTCCAAAAGGACAAACAAGTGGGTCCTAGAACAGATCAAGCCAGAGATATTGCTAGAAGCCATGATGACAAGTCTTAGACTGTCGTACTTTGGACACATCATGAGAAGGCATGAATCATTGGAAAAGACAATAATGTTAGGAAATGTGGAGGGAAATAGAAAGAGAAGAAGGCCACATGCTAGATGGAGAGACTTTATTAAAGAGACCATGAATATGAGTTTGCAGGAGCTGGGCAGAGCAATAGAGGACAGAGGGACCTGGAGATGTCTCATCCATAGGGTTGCCATGGGTCGACATTGAAATGAAGGTAGTTAACAACAAAATGAGAGATGTAAACTAATCAACTCCTGGGTTGGTGTAGTTCTGTTGCTGGTTTGGGATTGTTTATAAAGATTGGCATAGCTTGTTCCATGTACATATCCCCAGAATGCCTCTGAAAAACTGGCCATGGAAGTTTCTGCAGTGGCTGGGTCAAGGACTGACCTCTCTGAGATATCATATACCTAATAATAATAATAATAATAATAATAATAATAATAATAAATTTTATTTATATCCCGCTTCACCTAGGGACACCTTCCCAGGACTCCCAGGACAGTAGCATTAATTCATTAAGAATTTGTCAGGAAATCTTATCTAGTTGGCACTGAAACAAGGTATTTGTTATGTCCATCATGAAAATAAAATGCAGTGAAGGACATGTGTTTGACTTGTTCCTGTTCTGTTCCAAGCACCAGATATATCACTGAGTCTTGAGGAAGTGATTCAGAAATCCTGAATTCTACTGGTAAAAGACAAATAAATAACTACAGATAGAAAACAAACAAATTTACTTTTCCATTACAATTATTGGACAGTTCTTCCCTCACACACATAACACTTTGATAATCGTGGAGTATAATTGTTTCTTGTAACCCATCACATTTTCATGTTCCATATTATTCTACACAAATAGATTCATGAACAAAACCCCACAGTTAGGGTGAAAGTGAGAACTGGAAAGCTGGATTTGCTCATCTGATATTATCAGTCACAAATGATAATTTACTGGACTTTGGTCACATGCATTCGTCTGGCTACAAAACCCTGCTGCTTTCCCATATGTTGCTTCTGATTGGAAGTCAGCAAAGAGACACTGATCCTATTTACAGAGCTCTGGCCATCAACTAGATTACAGCTTGTGTGCTGATGAGACTAAAAGAATTGTATTGCCTAGTCTTAGTTAAGACAGGCATACAATACTGAAAGCTACTTAAGGAGAAGGAAAATTAAATCTGCTACTGTTTAGA